ACACACACACACACACACACACACACACACACACACACATTATGTAATTATGTTAAGTGGTTTTTCAGAAATAAAACACCACAATGACTCCACATGAAGAAGTATTGATAGATGTTGAACAATAACTATAGCAGAGATACCTTTGCTTACTTCTTTCAGTGTCTTCTAGTAAAGCACCTTGAAAATGTTTCATCTGAATAAAGATAGTTTGACACCTGTAATGGCCTTTAATATTGACTCTTAAGTGATTAGTTATATGCAACATTCTTTAGACATGTAGGAGGGTCACTGAAAAATTCAACACTAAACTAACTACTTTTTTCTACTATTTTATTCTTGGTGCTTAAATGTGAGATCAATTATCTAAAGACTTTGCTAATAATTTAAAAGATTTATATAGCTCTCTATAACTTTTAGGGAAAAGATATAGTCTTTTAAATGGATCAAATTAGTAACTAAAATAAATTCAGAAGCAGTGAGAAATTATTTTTTATGATCTTATTTGCTATAATGTGTAGAAGTAAAGAGTCTTTGATAGAAGCAAATAATAAAAGCTATTTCACGTCATAAATTCATTATTATATCTTCATAAACATAGTCCTTGTAGGAATTAAAAGATAGAAACCAACATGATAAATCAAAAGTTGAATGAATTGGTAAGTAAAATGAAACTCTACAACATTGATATGCATTTTGTTTACATTTTCATAGCATTTTTTTGTTTTTGTTTCTTGGATAAAGAATCTCTCTGTAGCTCCAGCTGGTCCTGAACTCCCTATGTAGATCAATCTGGTCTCAATCTCACACCTACACCCCACTCCCACTCTGCTTTCCAAGTGCTGAGCTTATGCATTTTTCTTTTTAAAAATAATAATTTTAATTCTTTGAGAATTTCATAGATGTACTTTGTCCACATTCATCCCCCTCCTCATCCCCTCCCAGATCCACCCTACTTCTCTACTCAATCAACCTTGAGTCTTCTTTTCTAAAAAGCCCATTGAGTCCAGTCGTGTTGCCCAAATACTCTGTGGTATGGGTCTCTTCCCTGGAGCATGGTTGGTTTACCAGTGATCACACCCTTAAAGAAAAACTGACTCCTAGTTGTACAATGGTGGTGTGTCTGATGCCATGGGATTTTTCTTATGGTAAGGTCAGTGCTTCTTTTGAGTAAATCAGAGATACTTGACTTATCACCATCTTTAAAATGTTTCATGATCAGATAGCATAATATGCTTCTGCATAATAAAGTTACCTTTCCAAATGTTACTAGATTAAAAGTAATCCCATTAGTGTATTACTAATGTGAGAACACAGACAAATCAAAGCTTCCTGCAGTATGAACTTTATCAGTATGACTAACCATTGTTTACACTGCAGCTATGACCTTGGCACAGTGAGAGTATTCTTCATACACTGATACAGATATAAGTGTAATCTCATAGCATAACTTTCTAAAAAGAGTGCTTAGTGCAAGGATTACCTCTTAGCCCCTTATTGTCCTTAAATAACTTTTTATCACCAAAAAATCTATTTAAAAGACTCAGATGACTGAATGTAGTAAAAAGAAAAAAAAAGAAAGAGTGCACTTGTCTATCTAAATTCCAACAAGTTCAGGGCTTAATAATAGGGAGTTTAGGTAGCAATATTATGAATCTGAGGTTTAGAGGTGTGCTGTGTTCCCCAAAGTAGTGATAAAGGTTGGGAAGGGTTTTATTTCAGAGCTTACCTAATGATTGGAATTGTTTTATCAAAAGCTTTCAGTACTTTCATTTTTTCAAGTTTCATTGTGACTACAACAAATATTATCAATGAGAATGATTTTGTTCTGGTAAGTTGATTGCATGGCCCTGTCTTCAGAGGCCACAGCTCTGATGCTCGGCTTCACATTTGGAAGAATAATTATAGCTTGAAGATTTCCTTCTCCAAGTCAGCTGACACTCAGCAATTTACTGCAAATTTCAACTGTTCAGAACAGTGACATATAGATTATAATAAGAACTCAAAGAAAAAAACAAATAAATATATCAGTTAAAAAATGTAACTTTATACAATCTTTCATCAAGAGGTGTTCCTGCCTTGTTATTTATGGTTATTTCAGAAGGCCTCAAAACCTATATGACTTCTGATGCCAGAAATTTCCATAGCAGAGGAATCTATGATTTGCAGTGAATCCTTTCAGCCCTCAATAGATGGGAAAAGATTGAAATGCTCTGGAGAGGAGTCCTCTTTATTTTTTTAATGAAAGGCTGTATAATATATTTTCTCTATGGCTGCAGCAGCTGTCAGGGAGAGCATCTCAGTTCAGCTCTATTACGGGAGAGGCAATACCCCATCCTATGGCATCGAGATGCTCTGAGGGGCCAGAGCTGATTGACAGCTTGTCACCGTGACGTCTTATTCCATCTCTGTTATGGAGAAAATTAATGTCACAGCACCAGCCTTATGACTCGCTGTCATCTTGGAGCCGCTCACCTTTTATCAATGCTCTAAATAACATTTCAAGCCCATCGTCTCATGGTGGACAATCCGGTCAAGGGACATTAAATCAGATGACTGTGAAATGTCATAATAAAAATGGAATGCTAACAACTTCTTCTCTAAACTAGCTCCTCTGGTTTTTAAACTGTGACAAGGAGGAGCAGGGGTTCAGCATACCCGTTCTGAAAAGGTCACATAACCACTCTTGGTCTACTACCCATTACCACCCACCCCTATTGACCTTCCCTCCTTCTCTCCCCCCAAAAGAAGAAAAAACAGTAAAATGGAATTAGCCATTTTTTCAGAATGCGGTGATCAAATAATAGCTCACATAGGAATGTCTGCTTAATTTTTAGGGCTTCAGTGCTGAGCAATGAAGAGATTTTTCTGGGGCTGTTTCATATCAGAATGGGCAATTCATTTACTTTCTTTACCATGACCAATACCAAATCAAAACCAAATCGAAATGCTAAGTTTAACTTCAACTTTAAATGTGTGTGTGTGTGTGTGTGTGTGTGTGTGTGTGTGTGTGTGATGTATTCTTAGAGGAAAACAGAAATCTCTAAGTAAACTTCTTTAAATGTTTCATCAAAGCAAGGGATATTTTATATGAGATACAGCATTAATTCATTTCATAATACATAAAATAAAAATAGAAACACCCTAAAGCCTAAAATAAAGCTCTTTGTCCTTGTGCTGCTGTGAGTTAATATAGCACATGTTCTGGGCTGCACATTATCGCTTCTTAGCAAGTATGTCTCTAGAGGGAGGGACAGTCCTATGACTGAGATTCAGGGCTACACAAAAGCATATTTAAACATGGCTCACCCATTAATATAGTGACCAGAATATAATCTGATAATTAGCTGGGATGTCTAATATAACATTTTATTAAAATAATTAGTATTGAAAAAGTGGAAAACAAATTCAATTTCTCAATTGAAATAAGTGATTAAAGGAACTCCATTCAGTAAAAAAGAAAAAAAAATCAGTAATACATGGATTACTTCTAATTACATGGGCAGAAGTATCATCTTCATATATGGGATAATATCAAAATAGTGATCCAGTAACTACAGAATAGTAATACCAAGATAAATTTTCATGTTAATATACCAATTAATTCCTTTATGTAGTTTTAATTCATGAAGCTCATTCCTACTAACTAGAGAATATATTTTGGTGGAGTACCAAAATGTGAAATAATTTTCATAATTGCAATTATATATTAGAAGATACCACACAATACCTTAGGCTCTTAGGTGGTTTTAAAATATATACTATTTAGCCTTGCTAAGTCACCTCTATTAAACTGTTTATGATAATACCATTGGTGGATGAGTTGTACAAGCATTAGCAGACAGCTGATTCAGGGGAGATAGCCAGAATAAATTTGCTGAAGCGCACATCCTGCTAATCTGTTTGAAGAATACTGTAGAGCATTAGTACCAGCACTTCATGTTATCTGCACAGCCTGATAAGGTACATCTTTATTAAATTCAGTTATTGAAAGGATGTCAGTCAGCAAATAGGAATATTTTTTAAAAAGCCATTCTTTGTTACTCAGAGCTTGGTTTCATGGCTGAGTGTCTAGAGGAGCCGTCTAAACACCTGGCAGCATGGTACAATACAAGCTTTGTGATTTTAAGTGGAAAAGCTTTTCTCCCAGCTTCATGGGTCCTGAGGCATTTACTTTTCCAAGGTTCCATTGAGAGACAATGGTGGAGCAAGAGCTCCCCTCTCTGTTGATTCAAGAAAACTACATGGTGGGAAAGTCACCAAGGAAATTGCTGGGAAGTAAATAGGAAAATTTGACTGAATGTTTTTGAAGAGGTAAAATTCGAGAAAGGTAGTTATTTACATACTTTGTACTCCACCCTCACACGCCACATCCAATCAGAAGGAAGGAGGCTATGTTTGAGTTGTATTTTACATTCAATTAAAAAAAATATTTTACGTATATGAATGTATTTCCTGCATGTATGTGCGTGCACCTGTGTTGTGCAATGTGCACAGAGGTCATAAGGCATTAGACCCCCTGGACTTGGAATTACAGAGGGTTGTTAGCCACAACGTGGGTTCTGGGAATCAAACCCGGGTCCTCTGCAAGAGCAGCCAGTGCTCTTAACCACAACCCCTTTACATTTTTTTTTTTTTTTTTTTTTTTTAAGGCTCAGTGGTTAAGAGCAATTGCTTTTCTTGCAAGTTGAAAGGTAAATTTCACCTATGTGAATGAATATTCTCTAGTTAGCAAACTTCTCTTCGTGTCAGTAACATCATTTCAAACTTGAAAAGACAAAAAAAAAAGATCTTATTTACAACTATGCAGAGTCACTAGCTAATTTTAAAGAAGTGTATAAACTTGACTTTCCTGTGTGGATTGCTTCACTACATGATTAAAAAACAACAACAACAACAACAACAACAAAAAAAAAAACCACTGAGTAGCTTCAGAATCCAGAACATGCTCTATATGACTCTGGAGAAGACCAAGCCTTTAGACATCAGTAGGCAACTCTAGAGCTCCTGAAAAGGCTGCAGGGCACCTGCATGGGCCTGCACTCTACTGATGCCACCTTCTCTCAAACACCTCCTTAGAAATCCACCTGTCACTCCAGGCACATTGTTTATCACCTCATCTAGTCACACGTGGCTCTGGAGGGAGGAGAGTTATATACGTACATATCGCTTTAATATCTCCTCCCGCTCCTTCTGGTCCTCCAAGGAGTTGACAGAGAGGTCAGAGATACTGACTGTGGCTGAGGCTGTCAGAGTGACAAGCAGCACCAGGTGGCCCTCACCCTCTTCCAGCTGTAACTCCAGCTTGTGTGTTTGTTCCCGACTGAGGGATGACAGGTCAACCTGGCACCTAGAAACAAATGTTTTGAATTAGCCAGTGGCATTTTTACCACATCAAACAGAAGTAGCACTGGTTAGAGCTTTGTGAAAGATAAATCAATAGAAATACTATTTGGGCCAGTGGAAGAATATGACTTCCTGTCAGCTGACTTTCTTCACAAAATTCAGACCTTGATTCTCGCAGGGTCTGTAACTGCTTATTACCTGTAAGACACAAACTTAGGTGAAGTTCAATTAATATAAACTCTGCCATCTTATTAAGGAATTAGTGGAATTTCCCATCCCTAGCCAGTCTAAAGAACTAGATGAGAAAATCTTCGCTTCCAGAAACACTGAGGCAGGCTAAGGAAAACAACCAAATATTGAGTTTTTGTGTCACTGTTAAGACCACGAGAACTGGACACACAAGCACCACTAAAGGAACTCAGTAGATTAAAAATAAATATATATGTAACAATAATAATCAATGAAGAGGTCATGGAATTGAGAGGGAGTAGGAACCATGAGAAGAGTTAGAGGGGAAAAGGGAGGGGTGGAAATGATATAAATACAGAACTCATATAAGCAATTCTCAAAAAGAATAGGTCAAGGGAATTTCTCTTCCATTCATAAATATTCTTAAATAGTGAATGGAACATTTATTATGGTGAGGTTAAGTTTTACATTTGAAATCCATGTGAGTCTAGACACAGTACACTCCCTAATCTAAATGTATCCTCCCAGGATTCCACAATGTGGCAAGCTTTGCTGTATTTTCCACTCCTGGAGCTAAGCACATTACAAACTCTTTTCCTGAAGATATCAGCTGATTTTGAGAGACATATTATATGGTGGCCACAGGTCTAATAACCTGAGAGAAAGGTGACAGGAATAAAAAAAAAAAAAGGCATTTAAAATAGGAAAGAGGGCCAGAAAGGTGGTTCAGTGGATAAAGGCACTTGCTGCCAAACCTGATAACCTGAGTTTAATCCTTGGGACCCACATGGTGGAATGAGAGAATGCCATCAGATTTTCCTCTGACCTCCACTCCTGTGCTGTAGCACAAACACATACACACACACACACACACACACACACACACACACACACACGCACACACACACGCACACTCCAGCCCCCTCTTGGTTGATATTCAAAAATGAAGCAAAGACTGATACTGACTTCTAAAAAATTATTTTTTATTTTTATTTTATGTGCCTGAGTGTTTTGTCTTTGTGTATGTAAGTGTACCGACTTCATGCAATGCCCACAGAAGCCAGAAGAGGGAGTCAGATTCCCTGGAACTAGAGTTATGGACAGTTGTTAGCTACCATGTGGGTGCTGGGAACTGAACCTGGGTCCTCTGCAAGAGCAGCCAATGCTCTTAACCCCTGAGCCATCTCTCCAGTCCTCTTATCCTTATTTTTATTTTTACCTATCAGCATTAACAACAGCTATGACTAGACCCAAGGTAGGTACTAAATGTTATTTAAAAAGTAAGAAATTAGTTTGTAACAATTCTGAAATATGCCTTCTTAAAGTTAGAATAGGAGCCAGAAGCCTCAGTGGTTCTGTTAATACAGCATTCAATTCAAAATACCATCACTCATTGTCCTCAAAGGTGAAGCATATCACATGCCTTATCTAATATCCTAAATTAGATACTAATTAGAACTAAGTTCTTACCAACAACACCCAGAAGAATAAGTTGAGTGTTAAAACACAACAGTGAAAGACAATCACTCAAAAGTATGAAAAGGAGAAGCATGGATATGATTTTAGTGATATTTCCAGTACTGGGCACAGTGCCTAGTCCATTGTGGTTTGTTAAACATGAATGAATCTCTGGCTTGGATCAAGACTGTAACACTAGAGAACATAGTAGGGGTTGTAATCTAGACAGAAGGTTGGCTGGGTACAGTTGGGATCAACAAGAGCTTTATTCACTTTATCATTTCTTTTTGCCCTCCTTCCTCAGTTTGATCATGCATTTTCCAGACTCTCTCTTCCCTTGCTCTTGTATTTGATGCAGCATCTAGAAGACACCAAAGCCTCTTGGCAGCTATAGACAATGGCTTAGCCTCCTCCTATCGGACTCATTGCAGACAATGTTTCTGAGATGAGGAAAGTGCTCTGATTATTTCCTTTAGAAACTGCAAACTGACCACATTCAGATGGAATCAGATCCATAGATTTGTTGTTTTTCTGTATAGTGCTAAATAAAACTTTGATTCTAAATATAGTAATTTTAAACACAAGGCAAATAGTCTCTGAATTAGCAGTGATTCCCATCAATACTGCCTGTTAGTCAGCAGTTGACCTATTTCACTTGACTCTACTTTTTCCAATAGGCACTGAGGAGGGGTAGAGAAGTTGCATTCCTTTGGAATGGACACACACAGTTACAACCAGAGGCAGAATCGGAACCTAGAACTTTGAAATGCAAGATTGAATTTCTCTCCACTAGACTGTCATTAAATAACTGCATCATGGAGGAAGGTGTGTTCTTCTGTGTGGGTGACATCCAGAGTTTTGGCAACAGAAAACAGGTCAATTTCCAAGTACAGAATTGTTTTTTTTCCAATATTAAAAAAAGTACACACTAAGCAAGTAAGCTACAAGTTATGTTCTTATAAGATAATTAAGGACATTTCACAAATTAAAATTTAAAAGCTATGAAACTAATAAAATTTAATAACTACAACAAATTTATAATATAAATATAAATGACAATACATTTATATGATATTACAAATTTATATGACATATTTTCTCTGCACCAAGTAAAACTTCAATATTGACTATGCTCATAGAAAGAGTTGATTTCAGGTATTAGCCTATATTTAGTGTTTCAGGATTTTAGCTTTAATAATTCTAATGCAAAGTATAAGGCTTAAATAAATGTTGGACATGAGAATATTAGATACAGAATATTAAATATCTTCCAGATTTTCAGTGAAGTTATTCAGACTTCATCTAAATCTCTGCTCAGAAGATGCCATTTTAAATGTAAATTTTGCCATAGCCTAGCAAAAATTATCTTGTTAACTTGAGAATAAAGTTTGCGCTACAGCTTTACCTCCAATCAAATGAGTGCAGGGATTGGGTATAGAGAAAATTGCTGTTACAGTTTTTGAACAAATATGGGTAAAGATGGAACCCATGTGGCATCATCTGTTGCCCTGTGACTACATTACTAATTACTCTGGAATACAGGGTCTTGTATTTGATTTGCCTGGGCTGCCATTGATTGTCTGTAGAAGTATTAAGGGACTATCCAGGGGACCCAGGCAGACATTAATGGTTATCAAAATGAAAACGCAAATTTAAAAAAAATCACTGATAAGAATTCATGAACTCCCCAAATATGTTCAGATAAAAGAACCCAGAGTCACAGTACTTTTGTTCTAGCCCTCTATTTTCCACTAATTAGTTGTATGACCTTTTCCAAGACAACTTTTCCTCTTGAATTTCTTTTTTCTCAACTCATTTGCAATTATGAGCTAATTGAACTAGATGAACTTTGAATTTTCAAAAATCCCCAATCTCAAAATTTGATAACTAGGAGAATAAGTTTATAAGTAAAGAAATAATATTATTCCTTGCCCACATTACCAAAATAGAGCAAAACCACAAAAATAAAATAAATACTTCATGCCAGTGAAAGAAAGTAGCTATATAATCTATTTTCAGATTGCATTGAAAGGAACACTGTGGTGTATCTCCGGTGTCACCAGAGAGGGACTGTGAAGCGGGGGG